AACGTATAAAAAAAATTCTTTCACAATTGTGTAACCATCGGATAATCATTTCCATATTTGGGACGGTCTCACCTCGATCTAAATGCCTAGAAGTATAGTGTCCTCAACTACGCTTCGGACAATTGGAATACACAAAATGATTAGTGCGTTTTTTATTTACAATCAGAAGGGTGAAGTCCTCATCTCACGATTATATCGTCAAGATCTGAAGTATGTACGTTGGACATTTTAGCAATCTTTAGACTACTAATTTCACCTTGAATTAATTTATTTAGACGATCCGTAGCAGACATATTTCGAATACAAGTAATATCCAACACTGATATACGATCACCCATAGTTACGCTTGGTTCTACTTCATTTTTTCACGTTCGGCATGAAAACCTTTTTATCGTTGCTGTTACCAAATGCAACGCTAACGCCGCCCTAGTGTTCGAATTTTGTTATCGACTCGTAAATATTGGAAAAGCTTATTTTGGAAAATTGGATGAGGAAGCCGTTAAGAATAATTTTGTACTGGTGTATGAGCTTTTAGATGGTTAGAATTTATAGAATTTTGTTAAGAGTAAAATTTTTATTATTTGTTCACACCATTCACCTTTCAATGCTATTTTGTTCCAGAGGTTCTCGATTTTGGATATCCACAAAACAGCGAAACTGACACACTGAAATTATATATTACCACTGAAGGTGTCAAGTCTGAACGTGCCTTAGTACGTCATTCTTTATATATATATGAATTTTTAATCATATTGATGTAAGGTTACAAATGTTAAAATTTTAGAAAGAAGATTCATCGAAAATTACAATTCAAGCAACTGGTGCCACATCGTGGCGAAGACCAGACATAAAGTATCGAAAGAATGAGGCTTTTATAGATGTTATCGAGTCAATTAATCTGTTAATGAGTGCCAAAGGTATAAAGAATTTTCTATGTAGTATTAATATTATTTAATCTCGTATTAAATTACTTTTCATGACAACCAAAAGGTACTACACTAAGGGCTGACGTTTCTGGGCAAATTATGATGAGGGCTTATCTTTCTGGAACACCCGAGTGTAAATTTGGATTGAATGACAAATTATTGTTGGAAAAAGATACTTCTCATAAAGGAATGTACGTATCTAGTCACATTATATCAAGTGGCTTCTCAAATTTATTTAACTGTTCATTAAAGGGCAAGGAAATCTACTGCTGTTGAAATCGATGATTGTCAATTTCATCAATGTGTAAAATTGGGAAAATTCGATTCAGATCGTACAATCAGCTTTGTACCACCAGATGGTGAATTTGAATTAATGAGGTAGAGTCATTATTTAATAAATTACTGTATTAGTTGAGATCGCACTTGTCATTAGTTGAGCATTCGCCATATTATTGAATCACGAAGGTACCGCACTACTGAAAATGTCATTCTTCCGTTCCGTGTCCATCCGGTAGTCAATGAAATTGGAAAATCTCGTGTCGAGTATCGGGTCACAGTGAAAGCGAATTTTTCGCCAAAATTATACGCAAATAATGTATTACTAAAGATCCCCACACCGCTTAATACCGCCAATATAAATGTTCGTGTCGCTTCAGGAAAAGCGAAATATGTGCCAGCTGAGAATGCAATTGTTTGGAAGTAAATAATATATATATATTTCTTTCGTCCATCAATACTGTTGATACTGTCATTTTGTTCACAATTTTGTATAATAACAGAATTCCGCGATTTCAAGGACAGTATGAAGTAATGTTAAGTGGGGACGCAGAGCTTTCTGCAATGACAGTCAAAAAGGCATGGTCGAGACCGCCAATATCAATGGATTTTCAAGTATTGATGTTTACATCTTCAGGATTACTAGTAAGATTTTTGAAGGTTTTTGAAAAAAGCAATTATACTAGTGTCAAATGGGTAAGGGTCAGTTTGGGGGTTAGGGTCAGGGCATGTTTTATAGTAAAATTGTCTTCCCGGCATTTTTTATTAATGCATCAAGATGGGTTTAGACTATCGTTTCTTGTATTTTTTGCGATTTTCACTTTTTTCGCTGTTTTTTATCTCTTCGGGCTGATCTGTGTCGATCAAAATAAACAATTCTATTGGCTTTAGGTCACATGATTGACACGGCTTTAGACGACCCTTTATTTGGCAGTATCGAATCAATGTATTGTTATTACAGTTTCGGATATTACCAAATATGGGGGTCGTTTAAAGCCTGGCACCTTACAAAATCACCCGAAGTACGGGAAATCACGGAACACAGATTATCTTGGCCTTTTGAAAAAATGACGTAGAATCTACTTTGAGGAACCGTCGATGTTACACATCTAATACAATTATTTATGTTGTGGATTACTTTACTGCCTAAGTAGTTGCGTAATATTAACGTTAATGCTTCCTCCTGTTACTTTGATCACTAAACGCGATACTTTTTAATTTTTTTCTTACTGATTTTCTCACTGGGCTTTTTTTTTTTTCTCTGATATTCTGATATTTGAAGTTTATAAGTTTGCCGGGATATAGATTTCAAGTACACTTTCGCGGTTTTGATGTTAATATTTATCTTCCTCTTAGATCTAAAATTTGGACTTTGGCAAGAAGCGAACAAATAACTTGTAGTTTTCTTAATACAAACTGTTGTCGACGAAGTCTTTAACGTGATATACCGAGGAGCGGGCATTTTGGACGGTTTGCAAAGGGGTCAAGCCTTTCTTCTCTTTGGTGAACTCTCCTTTGCGTTTGGCATCCAAACCGGAGGAGTCTCCGGGAACAGTGAGTAAAGAGAAGACTCAAGTTATATTGGAAACTGAAGGCTATGAAGAACTCTTGGAACAACACTCTTTGGTTGGAAAACTCGCACAACTATATTTTCCCTGCCGCTCTCTTTTTTCATAATTTTTCAACAAAAAGTGGGAGATTTGGCTACCCCTCTCCAAAAGATCAGCATTGTTTACATTTTCATTTTCAGAAGGTCTCGAGTTACGATATGACGAATGAGAAACAACAATCACATGTGAGGAGAAAGTTTTGTTTGGGTTGTATCAAAGTACGTGGAAGTCCCGTGTTTGGATCGGCTATGACTGTACAGGAATGAATACCTTATGCGACGGACACGAGGAAGTAGCTTCCAATGATGCCGGTAGACCATAGGGAAGACCCCCTGTTTAATCTCGTATAGTGAAGAAGCAAGACGTAGAAGAACTGTAAGAGGATTTTGTAATTCGGAAAAGAGCGGTCTAGTATAAATGGAACTGACGATCACGTGTCGAGGCTTTAAAATCAGCGTTCTAGGATTCGAGGTGGATTTAATCGAGAGTTGTAAGACAGAGCGATATATTAGAGATATGCAATATTCCGAAGTCATATGCATATAATTTTTAGTCCTAAGCACAGGTTAAAGTGCATTTTAGTTCTTAGTTACTCTTTTTGTCAGATAGCTCTATGTATAGTTTTCTATGACCATGTAGATAGTTTTTTACCTGGTTAGCAGGTTTTTATATCTGTAAGCAGTTCTCTTAGATTTTAGGATAGTTTTTTTATTTCCTTTATGTTTTGGTCGTTTTCGTATTTGTTTTTGTTTTTTTCACTTTCCCCATTTTCATTACACCCTCACACCTTTTTTTTTCTTTTTACTTCTCTATGAGAAAGTGTCATCAGATTGGCGATACTCTATTGTAGAGTGGTGATTCTTACAAGGTCGG